TTGGTACAGTGCACATTGTTTGCATGTCTATATAGTGACAAATATAAAGCTAACTTGCCTCTAAAATTACGCCATAGAGGTTTTTAAATACCTGGTACCTGTCCTGGCAGGGCACCCTGGTTGTAATAAGAAAACTAGTTGGTTTCCTTCCTGAGCTAATTATGATATGAGGTAATTGTGAATTAACATCTCTAAGCTAAGATTTTGTTATGATTATTCAAATGGTGCTTCTTCAAAAATGCTTTTCCTCCCCTGCAAGGTTTGACACCTTATTATTGATCTTGATGTTACTGTAAAGCTTTTAGCAGCCCTGAAACCAAAAGCCATAAACCATTTTGACATAAGACTTCCATTTTAAACTCAGGCCACATTAAAAAAAAAAAAGGAAGAGTGGTGTCAACTCTGGTCTAGCATGTTGGGAAGGTAATTATAGATGCTTAACATTCCTTTTTTGCACACATGCCTCTATTATTTTACTCAATAGACAGCTGGGGGTCTACTCTCACTTGGTTTGTGTTAACAGCTAAAATAGAAAAGGAAGACCAAGTGTCTGCCTTCCTTGAGCCCACTGCCTGGTTGCAAAGAACACCTGTTAAAGTAAACTATTATAGTGGTAACAAAATAGAGGTTATATACAAATAACAAGAGGAAAAGAGGAAGTAGTGTGCAAAACAAATGAAGTTAAGTCTCCAAGGTGTGTCGGGACTATACTAGTAAGTTTTGGTAGACTAGAGATTATGTTTTTTTTTTAAGTGAGGAAACTGAGGTCAATAAGTTCATAATTCCTGGGTGGCAAAACAAAGTTAATTTTTTTCTGTAATGCCATAGTTGTTTCTCAGTGGAATTACACTTCAATCTAGCTTTATTAAGGTGATATTGGTACTTTTTTGCCGGGAGCCGGTCCATCCTTGCTGCTTGACACAGTCGCTGCAGAGAAGAAACATCTGCACAGCATATGTTTCAAGGGACCTGGCGTATATGGCATACTGTTCTTAATATGTTTGCTCCCCTTCTTGGCGCTATGTGTTTTAACCAAGGTCACCTCTCTGAGAAAGGTTGTTTCCCCAGGTAGGAATTTTCCCCTGAAGTTAGGGAGGGAATACAACCCCTTAACTAAGTGCCAGGCGGGTAGTTAATCACTTTAACTACAAACAATCACGCTTAAGCTACATAATCTTTACTCCCTGGAATGGAGATAAGAGACGCCCTAACCTTTGCAATAGAAATTGACAGGATTAAAATCGACTGGTATAAATACAGATGTAACAAGACAATAAACATCAGATCCTCATCAGATCCTAACCAGAACTTGGCCAGAGTTCGTGGCTGGAGATCCTGGCTAGGCTGCTGATCAACTGAAGGCTGTCTCCGTGTCATTCCTTCTTCGCCGACTCCGTCCACACCTTTGGGGACCCCTGGACCTGCTGGGGTCGGACCCCAGCACTTTTTAAAGAATTATTATGAATTGGATATTCTGGAAAACAACTGAAAATGTTGGTTAATTATCACAGTACTATTAATGTTAGAGCTGTGTTTTTTTGTTTTTAGTTAGAGTTGTGTTTTGAATTTAAGTGTGTTTCTGGAGTCTCAACCATTATATGTTTACATAATGATTATTTACTACCTTGAAATAACAATTCCTATTCTATTTTACTAAAGCAACATACTACTATGTAACAATTCCATAAGTTTCGCTGAGAACTGTAGTCTTTGTTTGCCATTTTCTTGGGTAGGGACATAACTGGTATTTTCAGAATTAAGGAAAGTGAGGGAGGAGGAGGGTATGCCAGTACATAGATTTTCTTCTATTAAAGTGCTTAATAACAAGTTAAATGCTCTTTACATGGCAGGGAAGCTAGGCTCTCACAAATTCCTCATAGTTGTTTTCTGCATCAGTCAGAAATTAAGCTGTACCTAAATTCCCATATCATACTCAGTCAGCTCAGTTCCAAAGGTAAGGTGATGGGGAGAGTGCTGCTGTGGTGAAGGCAGAAAGGGGTTGTCTGTAGAGAATTTTAAAGCAATACATTGACTAAAAGGCATATGCTTATAATTATCCTATACCTGGCAATTCTAAATAGTGTCAGTGATAAAATACTGCCATTACAACCACCATGTAGGCCCAGCCCTTGCTCCCAACATATGAATGAACCTTGACATGGTTAAGAACATTGTGTCTGAGTGTTCTTCTTTTTCCCAAATTGAGTCTCAGTTGATAAGCAATCAAAAAATATATGGCAAGCTATACAGTATAATTAAACAATGTTTCATTTTCCTACATATAAGTCATGTTAGTCATAATAGTTGCATAGTATGGAAACTTAAGTAAAAAATCGGTTTATTGCCCTAGCCCAGTGGTCGGCAAACTCATTAGTCAACAGAGCCAAATATCAACAGTACAATGATTGAAATTTCTTTTGACAGCCAAATTTTTTAAACTTAAACTATATAGGTAGGAATACATTGTTATTAACTTAATTAGGGTACTCCTAAGCTTGCCTTTGCTAAAAACGTCCTCAATCTGAGGGGTCGACCTCAGCAAACGTACCCCCATTTCTTCTAATGCCACTTCTTCAAAATAGACTCGCCCGGGCTGAAAACTGACTTCTGGGCATGGGCCACGAAGTTGCAATCGCACTGTACGTGCGCGCCCGCACGTGGTATTTTGTGGAAGAGCCACACTCAAGGGGCCAAAGAGCCGCATGTGGCTCGAGAGCTGCGGTTTCCCAACCACTGCCCTAGCTGGTTTGGCTCAGTGGATAGAGTGTTGGCTTGCAGATGGAAGGGTCTCAGGTCCGATTCCAGTCAAGGGCACATGCCTGGGTTGCAGGCTTGATACCCACTCCTGGTCTGGGGCTCTGGTCAGGGGCCCTGGTTGGGGTGTGTGTGGGATGTAACCAATCAATGTCTCTCTCACATCTATGTTTCTCTCTCTCTGTCTCTCCCCGCCTCCCTTCCACTCTCTCTAAAACTCAGTGGAAAAATATCCTCCAGAGAGGATTAACAACAACAACAACAACAAAATCTGTTTATTGTCTTAGCTGGTTTAGCTCAGTGGATAGAGTGTCGGCCCACCGACTGAAGGGGCTCGGGTTTGATTCTAGTCAAGGGCACCTACTTCGGTTGCAGGCTCTTTCCCTGGCTCTGGTTGGGATGGGTGTGGGAGGCAACCTACTGATGTGTCTCTCTGACATCCATGTTTCTCTTTCTGTCTCTCCCCCTCCCTTTCTCCTAAAAATCAATGAAAAAATATCTTTAAGTGAGGATTAACAAACAACAACAACCTTATTAAATTAAAAGATTACTGGGGAATTTCATGGGACATAGTTGTAGGAAGTACAGTTAGGCCTCCCAGAAGCTGAGTCTTCTCAGCATCTCTGGGGGCTCTGAAGTTCCGCCTACCCAGAGTCCTGCTTTGGTTGCCCATTTTTCAGTGTTGGTGATACCTTAAAGGCTGGATTGTTTTTTTTAGCCCCATGATGCAGTGTTAGTTGTAAGAACTCCCTCAATGTAGACAGAATTTATAACAACTTCCTGATACTTGGCTCAGTGTGTACCAGTTATTTTTCATGAAAGCTGAATCCCAAGTATATGCAGGTCATAAGCTTGAAAGCACCTTGCCCTTTAAATCCACTTTCTGGTGCCTGCCATCCAGGGGAGGGGCCTATAACTGAGAAGACAGTTAAAAAAGTAACCTTTTGGCCAGACCTGCATGGCTCAGCAGTTGAGAATCGAACTATGAACCATTACCGGTCAGGGCACATGCCCAGGTTGCAGGCCCGATCCCCAGTTGAGGGGCATGTAGGAGGCAGATGATTGAAGTTTCTCTCTCATCGATATTTCTATTTCTCCCTTACTCTGAAATCAATAAAAACATTTTTAAAAAGTAACTTTTTGGAGAGAGAGTACTTTTTGAAAGTCATTAATGTATTTGAGAAGGAACAAGCCCAGTTTGGTGGAATGAGATGAGAAAAGTGTATTTGTGCATCCTGCTTTCTTCTCTCTCCATCTTTTGAATACTCTTCTTTCCCACCCTCTATACCAGCCGTGGGCAAACTACGGCCTGCGGGCCGGATTCGGCCCGTTTGAAATGAATAAAACTAAAAAAAAAAAAAGACCGTACCCTTTTATGTAATGATGTTTACTTTGAATTTATATTAGTTCACACAAACACTCCATCCATGCTTTTGTTCCGGCCCTCTGGTCCAGTTTAAGAACCCATTGTGGCCCTCGAGTCAAAAAGTTTGCCCACCCCTGCTCTATACTGTGATCCATTTCTACTTTTCACCTCTGTGTGTGTCTGGTTACATGAGGTATGCGAAAGATTACTTTAGATGGTAATTTTACATAATTATGTTGTGGACTTTAAGCAGTAGCTAGAAAGTGGGGGGCAGAGGGGGGAGAAATTAAGGGACATCTGTAATACTCTAAACAATTTTTAAAAAAGAATATATACGTTCAGGACAAATTTGGAAAAGCACATTCTAAGTAAGGCAGATTGCTGTTTTTGACTTGGGAGTAAATTAATTTCCAGCGGTAGAATCAGACTCAAAGGTCTGTATCAGTTTGGATGGCAGTAAAAATTGTATACTCTATAAAATCGCTCTAGATAACTAAAAAATTTGCTCTAGATACAAAACACATGCTAATGTCAAAGATATGTGAATAGTTTGAATAAACTTTATGACATTTGCAAGCAGATTGGGTGTAAAGCAGTATTACTATATTAATAGTATTTTATAGAGATATTTTTTGCACAGGTAGCTAAATTTTATATAGATACATTTCAAGTTCATCCACTCAAAAGGATTTATATTGTCAAATTAAGCCAAAAACTTAAGAGATACTACTTATTTAATATTTATTTATTTATTTATTATTAAATTACTTAATATTGGGGTTTTCTTCACATTTAAGTAATGGAAAAAGTCTTTTACCTAAATCCGTATTTTTAATGCACTGACTTTTAAAGTTTACAAATAGATCCTTTGATTATTTAGCAGGTAACATCTAAAGGAACTGGTTTAAATCCTAATGCCAAAGTGTGGCAAGAAATTCCTCTTGGAAATACTGATGTCACGCCAGTAACTCATGGAACTGAAAGCTCTTGGCATGAAACAGCAGCAACATCAGGGTCTCATCCTGAGGGTGAGTCCTAAATATTTTGTCAGAATAAAACACATTTTGGTTAAACATATCCCCGAACCAATTTAGAGAACTTTAGGGTACATCCTTTGATTATTTGATTAAATATGTTTATAAATGTTTAACGTGTAGTTTGTATACAATTCTCATATCTAGTATGAATAGTCACCAATTTCAAACAGAAGCTTGAAATCTTTGGGTCTAGCCTTTAAGCCCATTTCTAAAATGGTATTTATAAATTAGTGTTGATCTACCACTTATTTGACCTTGGACAAATGACTTAATTTTCCCATGCTTGTGTCCTTAATCTATAGATAAAACAATAATAATAAAAATAGTAATAATAATTACTTTTGGCAGAATTAAGTGAGTAAAAGTGCATTAAGTAGTCTGATACATAGATAGTGCTATATAAGTTTAAGCTATTAACCATTTTAGCTTATCCATAATTGTCAAAACTTAACTCCCTTAGAAAGAGAACTGTTACTTAAAATCATATGGACATTTTACCAACTGGTAGATTCCTTGAAATCTTGTTATAGAAGACATAGGGCCGAGAGTTCCTAAAGATAGGATTTGAAGAATTTCTATTTTCAGTATGTTTTCTTTCATACAGGTAATACAGAGCTTTCAGATGATATGTGTAAGGAATATGAAGTAATGTATTCATCTTGTGAAACCACAAGAAATTCTACAGGCATTGAAGAATCAACTAATGGAATGATTTTAGGGCCAGAAGATCTGAGTTATCAAATATATGACATTTCCGGTAAGCTTTAGGTTTTTATTGATCAAAGGAGAATTCAATATGCTAGTCTTCTTCCACCCTCCCCCCAAGTCTCTTTAATTAAACTGTGTATTCATTAGTTTATTTTCTTATTGGGAAAAAATTTATGTTAATGAAATGCTGTTAGGTGATATCAATAAATACTGTTTTAAAATGGCCAAACGTGAAAATTGTAATTAAAAAATATTAATTTTAAAATTCCTATTAAAAGAAAGTGTGAAATTCAAGATGAAAGGGGAAAAATATTCAAAATAGTTGAAAGAAACCTAAATTACAATTTTTCATAGGGTCCAACTTTGTTGGGATTAGTGCAAGTTCTATCAATTTTCCTATCACTTTTTTCCCCCCTCTAAATATTTATGGGTGAAATATGACCCTGGGACTTCATTGTTCCCGTGACCCATCACTTTTGTCAGTGTGAAATGCATTTATAAATGTGAAGTTGCAGGGATTAATTTTAAGGAAAAGGCTGTATTAAAAATAAAAACATGGTTCTACAATTTAACTTGTGAGACGTGTTGGTTTTTTTTCCATATTCACTTAATTGTTATGGATTAGTAGTTGATTGGATTTAAAGTGGATGAAATCTAAAGGAAACTAAAACTGTACCGTAGACCCTCATGACCTAGCTTAATTTTTCTAGTTCCTGAAGGGTCTCTTTGGAAAATAAGTGTAATGGGAGGGGGTAGGCATTTCTGTCTTTGCCTTCAGTCAAGGTATATAAATCTTTGTCTTCAATTTCCTTATTTATTATAAATATTTGGACTAGATTTCTAAAGTCTGTTGGCTTGTAAGTTGATTTTGGAAGTGGAATGAGATGGTATTTCCATATAATAATTTAAGGTGGTAGGCTCTGCTCTCTACTTATGGTCATAATATACCTAACTAGTGGTTACTTCGTTGTTTTTTGTTTATTTGCTTTAGTTTTTAATATATTTTTATTGATTTCAGGGAGGAATGGAGAGGGAGAGAGAGATAGAAACACCAATGAAGAGAGAGAATCATTGATTGGCTGCCTCCTGCAAGCTCCACACTGGATGTCAAGCCCGTAACCCGGGCATGCTCCCTGACCTCCTGGTTCATAGGTGAATTCTCAACCACTGAGCCATGATGGCTGGGCATTACTAGCTGGCTACTTTGAACATAGAGTTGGTTTAAGTGATGTGGCAACCAGTTGATATTTTAATAAATTTGCTATAATGACATTGAAAGGTTAAATGAAGTTATTGCTCATTTAGGTAGCAATTGAGAAGATGAATTTTGTATTAGAAATTTACATAAAAATAGAATGCTTCTTACTCATTTTAATGAAGTTACTTTAATATCTAATATTACTTTGAATCTTGAATAGTAAGACAAGGTAGTGGTAAAATCATGCACAGAATTTATCTTATTTTTTATTGATTTTGGAGAGGAAGGGAGAGGGAGAAAGAGACAGAAACATTAATGATGAGAGAGAATCATGGATCGGCTGCCTCCTGCACGCCCCCACTGGGGTTCGAGCCCGCAACCCCGGGCAGGTGCTGTTGACCGGAATCAATCTCAGGACCCTGCAGTCCGCAGGCCCACGCTCCATCCACTGAGCCAAACCAGCCAGGGCAGAATTTATCTTTATATACATCCTATTGTCTGTGTATTTAAAGGAAATTAATCATTAATGCTTTTGAAGAGGACAGCTCAGCAGAGTGGCTTGGTTGAGTGCCATCCCGGGCATGAAAGGTTGCTGGCTCGATTCCTGGTCAGGGCACATACCTGAGTTTCAGGTTTGATTATCCAGTCAGAAAGCATACAGAAGGCAACTGATCAATGTTCTCTCTCACATTGATGTTTCTCCTTCCCTCCCTCCCTCCCTCCCTCCCTTCCGTCCTTCCCAGCATGTCCTCAGGTGAGGATTAAAAAAAAAAGACCAATTGTATGCTTTGAGTCTGTAATGTCTTGTGTAAGATAGTCTTAGTTTTCCAGGTTTGAGTCCTCCCAAAAAAGGCTCATGTTCTGGGTTTAAATAATAGAAAGTATAGGAGACTGTTATAGAGTTGATCTGGTCCTTTGGACATTTGCGTGCTTTAAATATTCATAGGAAGATAATGGAGTTCTAAAATTAAGGTATAAAAAAAATATTAAGAGATAGAAGTTGAGCCCAGCTGGTGTGGTTCAGTGGTGAGCATTGACCTATGAACCAGAAGGTCCTGGTTCCATTCCCGGTCAGTAGCAGGTATGCAGGAGGCAGCCGATTGATGCTTTCTCTCATCGATGTTTCCATCTCTCTATCCCTCTCTCTAAAAAGTCAATAAAACATTAAAAAAAAGAGAGATAGTTTAACGAGTGTGACTAATATCAGATTTACTCCTAATACTACCGATGACTCTGTGTGTGTATATATCCCATTTTGTCTAGCTAGTCACTGTCTCAAATTTAGATTAATATCAACTCTTGTTCATTATTTTAAAGTATTTAGGGTAGTATTTTATAATATATTAGCAGTAAGTATAGTATTAATGGTGCTTTGTTAATTACTTGATAAACATTTTTAAACTGATGTGAAATCTCTCTAAAGAATGAAGAATACATTGGTTGAAAGAAATTAGTTGGACCTTGAGTGATCTGAATTGTAAAAAATAACAGTTTAATTTTATGAGTTTAATTTGTGTATACTTTGTGATTTACTCTGAGTATAAACAATATGTAAAGTTAACCACTTATAGTAATTTGTATTAACTTTTTCCCTCTTGTTTTCTACCATCAGGAGAAAGCAATTCAGCAATTTCTACAGAAGACCTAAAAGAATGCCTGAAGAAACAATTAGAATTCTGTTTCTCACGGTACACGATCATTTTTGTGTAGATATTTCTCCTCTTTTTTTTTTTTTTTTTTTTGAATTGTTTGGTTGGTAGATGTAAAATACCTGGAAGAATGGTGGTTTTAATTTCCTTCAATTATGTATTCTGGTATCATTCTTCTATATTTCTTAACTAGATTTAAGGATATAATCTTTAAGCATGTCAAACTCAAAGGCTATCACGGGCCAAATGAACAAGGTTTAAGTTTATGTGGGCCGAAAAAAAACAAAAGCTTCAATTTTCATAGAGACATAGGTTTATTTCGATAGAGACATGCTGAATACAAAGGGCTGAAATAAATGAGTAATCGTTAACGTAAAATAATAGGACATTTTAATAAAAATATTTTTTCTTGAACATTAACTTACCAGACACTGAATAACTGCATGAATTAATAAGAGTAACGCAAATAAACCTATTTTTCTTGTTCTCTGAAAGCGAAATATTTCCTGTTGCGCACACCAGACAAGTCAGTACAAGACTAATGATGTGGCATTTGGCTGCTAAAATATTCGCTGCTGGTATTAGTGGAGAGAAATGGTGCACCTGCGTGTAAGGCGTGAGGGAAATGAATGCACCGCGATTATAGTAATCAGTCATTAGTGAATGTTGTACTAGTAGTTTGTTATTAATAATTATGTATAACAGGATATTGTAAAAATTAAGTTACAAAATTTTTATTAAAACATTTCTTACATACCGTTATATTGCTGGGCTGCAAAAGTATTCATTGTGGGCTGTGAGTTTGACATGCTTGTTTCAATATGCAAAGGATATTCTATTTTCAGTAGAAAGATAATGAAATTTCTCTTGGATACCTTTTTAAAAATATATATTTTTATTGATTTCAGAGAGGAAGGGAGAGGGAGGGAGAGAAACACCAATGACAACAGGTAATCATTGATTGGCTGCCTCCTGCACGTTCCCTATTGGGGATTGAGCCCACAGCCTGGGCATGTGCCCTGAGGGAATCGAACCATGACCTCCTGGTTCATGGGTCAACACTCAACCACTGAGCCACACTGACCAGGCTAACAATTTTGTTTTAATTGATTTGAGAGAAAGAGACATCGATTTGTTGTTCCACTTATACATTCATTGGTTGCTTCTTGTATGTGTCCTGGCCAGGGATTGAACCCATAATCTTGGTGTATTGGGACAACGCTCTAACCAACTGAGCTACCTGGCCAGGGCCTCATGAGTGTTTTTAAAGCAAACATGAAGATTTGAACCTCTTGATTTGCATGATTTTGTGGGGTTTTCTGGGTCAAGTGAGGAATGAACTATTTTCGGAGGTCACCTCAGGCTGCTTTTGAAAAAGGTTTTTTTATTTCTTTAGACACAGTACACTCTCAGCTTAGGTTTAATTGATTCCTCATCCTAAATATCTCCCTTTCCTTCTTTGTCTTCATAATCTAGTATTGGCCCTACTATATAAAAAAGCAAGAACCTTCTGGCTTTCTTTCTCCAATCAGATACAGTTCATTTTCTGTAACATACTTATAATAGTTATTTTAAAATCTTTGCCTATTAACTGGATCATTTGTGTGTCTGCTAATATTTTGAGTTTTTTCTCTTGATTCTGTTATAATTTTCCTGCCTTTTTTGCATGTCATAAATTTTGATTATATGCTGGACATTACTTATAAAAGAAGCTAGGAGCTGCAAGTGATATAATTTTTCCCTCTAGAAAATATTTGAGCTTTCTTCTGGTAGGCAGAAGCAGAATGATTGCTTCAATCCAGTCAGGAATCAAGCTAGGTCAGGGCTGAGCGGCCATTTTAATTAGATTTGGTTCACCTCTAATTTATGTATATTCCTTAGGCATGGACTTCTCAGGCTTTTGATTTAGAAGTTGGCAGTTTTCTGTTACCTCAGTCCTGAAACATCAAGGGAGATTTAGTTGTCTTCTTCAGAGGCTTGAGATTAGCTCTTTAGCCTCTTACCTCATACAGCTCTAAAATCTGAAAAATGTCTTGTGGAGGAAACCTGTCTTGTGTTTGATGCAATATTCATTCTTTTTTCCCCCTGGAACTTCCACAAGACCAGAGAGATTTTATCTTTTCCACTTGACTCCCAATCTCTCATCTCTGTCCTTCGAACTCAAGTAAACACAGTTGTGTTGGAGGGCTTCTTTAGTTTCCAATTCATAATGCCAGTCCTGTGCAACTGCTGAAAGCTTTGCTGGTTTTACTCTGCTCCAGGATCTGCAAATGCCCTCAGGAAAGAAACATCATCTTTCTGGAATTTCATTTTGTCCTTGTTTTATAGCTCTTCTTTTATCTTTGAACACGTAATTGTTCCAAGCCTTTTTAGTTGTTGCAATGGAAGCTCTTGCTTATGATAATTACCACATTTTGCTCAGCACTGTGTTACAGTTCAAACCAGCTGGGCGATTGATTGACATTTGTAGGTCAGCAAAATGGCCATCAGTACATGTCATATATTAGTCATAATTGTTCAAATTTTAGATGTTATATCCATTAAGTTGACTTACTTCTGTGAAGTATAGTTTCTTTAAGGGTTTGACACAATGTTTTATAAGAATAGACCTGCTGAAAATCAGAGTAAATTCAGGCTACAACTTTTTAGTTATGCAAATATTATGTTTATTGTTGTCTTATTTTCAAGTTCTTAAAGAATTTTTCAGCCCTGGCTGGGTAGGTCATTTGGTTAGAGTGTGGTCCCACTGTGCTCTCTCTCTCTCTCTCTCTCTCTCTCATTTTTAAAGTTCTTATTTTTTAAAAGTTTTTTTTATTTATTAGGGTGATGCTGATACTAGTATGTTACTCCTTTGGTGCTGAATTGAGTTTAACCTTTGCTGGTTTCCCCTGCATTCTCAGTTTTCTTCCCAAAGCAAATAACTACCACCTGTTGACAGTTGTAACCTTTAAAAAGTAATTACTATGCTGTTTTAATATAATTTGAATTTAAAGGCCTTTGATCCTACTCTTTGCCAAGCACTAGGGCTTTGAAACACGTTTGAACAACAAAGACCCTTTCTGGCTGGGGAGGTTCTGGGGAGGTTGGGGGGCAAAACAGTAAAAGTAATAAATAGGCAAATTAGAAGTGTTAGGAAAAATATTAAACTATGGAAAAATATTAAACAGAGCAGTATAAGCAAGGGAAGGGACATCCATAGTGCTTGGGTGGTTTCAGTTTTAAATAGGTCATTAAGATGGTGGCTTTTAAGCATAGACTTCTAGATATTTATAACCAGACTGCTTTAAAGATTTGATGTGAATAAGGTATGGTTTTTATTTTACTTCAGTTTGTTAAATAATATTTTATGTGTAAGATAGAAGTGTTTACATATTCTTTTTTTAAATGTATCTTAAAGAATCTTTAGTCTTAATTTTTTTTTTTTTAATTAGTAGTAATCGTGCCTTGGATAAACCTCATTGGCTATGACCAGGGGTGGGCAAACTTTTTGACTCGAGGGCCACAATGGGTTCTTAAACTGGACCGGAGGGCCGGAACAAAAGCATGGATGGAGTGTTTGTGTGAACTAATATAAATTCAAAGTAAACATCATTACATAAAAGGGTACGGTCTTTTTTTTTTTTTTTAGTTTTATTCATTTCAAACGGGCCGTAGTGTGCCCACGGCTGGCTATGACACTGCCACTGTGTAAAGCTTTTTTTTTTTTTTTAAATCCTCACCTGAGGATATTTTCCCATAGACTTTTAGAGAGAGTAGAAGAGAGGGAACGATAGAGAGAAATATCGATGTGAGAGAAGCACATCGATTGGTTGCCTCCTGCACGAGCCCTGAACAGGGCCCAGGCTGGGGAGGAGTCTGCAACTAAGTTACATGCCCTTGACTGTAATTGAACCATTAAGTATTGTTAAAGCTAAGTTCTCTTTACCTTTCTTAAGCCCTCTATCCACTGAGCCAAATCGACTAGGGCATAGTCTTAACTTTTTAATATTTTAAATTTATTATTTAAATGTAAAATAAAGATCGAACATATTTATAAGTAAATGCTAACATTCAGAAACTTAAAATCCTTCACGATCCAACTCATGGCTTAAACTGCATATTCTAACATCAGTGATAAAGTGTTTATAAGATGGAACTACACTTTATATGATATTTTGTATCATACTTTTAAATTTAATACTAAAGCCTCTTCATATTAATATAATTCCATAAAATTCCTTGTTCAAAACTGTTGGGCCCAAAAGTTCAAGGGATTAAGCCAAAAACAAAACAGACAAACAAACTCAGCGACACAGACAATAAATAGTATGGTGATTACCAGAGGGAAAGGAGGGGGTGAAGGGTGGTAGAAAAAGGTATAGGGGGCATAAATAGTGATGAAAGGAGACTTGACTTGCAGTGGTGAACTCACAGTACAGTTTACATATGATGTATTATAGAATTGTACACCTGAAACCTATACAATTTTATTGACCAATGTCACCTCGATAAATTGAATAAAAAAGTAAACAAACTATTGGGCCCAGTGTATTTGGAGATTCAGAATCTTTCTGGAAGTTTTTAAAGCGCATTTGTTGTATATTATATGTTTTCATAATTGTGTTATTTCTGTAGCATAATTTTGTTTTCCTAGACTTAGTGACAAAAGTGAATAAGGCATCTCTTTAGGTGCTTTTAAGGAATTGTTTGTTTTATAGTACTGTTGCTTCTGTTTATTTTTCCCAGAGAAAATTTGTCAAAGGATCTTTACCTGATATCTCAAATGGACAGTGATCAATTCATTCCAATTTGGACAGTTGCCAACATGGAAGAAATAAAAAAGCTAACCACAGACCCCGAAATAATTCTTGAAGTATTGAGATGTATGTAAAGCATACCTTTTAGCTTATTCTTTAAGTCAAAAAATTAAATGTTCTTTTAATTTCTGATTAGACAGGGAATTGTTTTAAGTTCCTATTTTTTGCTACTCTATTTCAATCATTTATCTTTACTGACTGGTATATAGCTTCTATATCAATTTTATACCTTCATTGTTAATCTTGATACCCAGTTACACATATAAGAAATTAAATCTCAGTTTTCTGGGCTATTAGAAAGTTTTATGTATCTGTTTTTTGTTTTTGTTCATCAATTTATGTTGTTCATTATATTCCATAAATGAGTGAGGTCATGTGATATTTATCTTTCTCTGACTGGTTTATTTTACTTAGCATTTTCACACTCTTTAAAGCAATCTATTTCAAATCTTTGAACCCATGTAGTACATTTTACATCACAGTCCAGTACATATACTACATACCCACACATAACAAATGCTACACAGATTAATTCTAAATGCTTACAACAAACTCATTTCTTTTAGTCTAAACTGATTCACAACCTATTAAAGAGTTGTAACCTACAATTTGACAAACACTGCTCTAAAATTTGGTAAGGAATTTATATTTTGAGGTTCTAAGAATTTTTAGTGATGTTTGTATCTAATAAGTATTTCTTGGTAACCTCTCATGTGGTTTTTGCTAACTACTTGACTGAATAAAGGCAGATCTTAATTTTGGTATAAAATATGTTGCTGGAAATGTTTAAAAGTTAAATATAGCAAGTTCAATAATAGACTTACTACTGGGAGTAGAGGATTTTCATTCTCAGAAGGCTAAAAAATCATTTTGTGAAATAATCTGAGTGGTTTGTGCAGACATCATTTCTTAAAATGATCCAATCTTGTGCGTAATTCTTGGTTTAAGCACTTTAAAATATATATATATTGATTTCAGAGAGGAGAGGAGAGGGAGAGAGAAACATTAATGATGAGAGAGAATCATTGATGGGCTGCCTCCTGCACGCCCACTACTGGGAATCAAGTTCGCAATCTGGAATCAAACCCGGGACTCTTCTGTCCTCAAGCCTACGCTCTATCCACTGAGCCAAACCAGCTAGGGCAAGCCACTTCTTAGACTGTAATTTTAAGAAGAGTTTCTTCACATATTAAAACTTAACTGCATTTCCCCAAGTAGGGAATAAATAATGTGGTATTTGTGTATGGAGAAACTTCCTTATTAGTTATATGCTGCATGCTCCTTTGAAGGCTTTTTTTCCCCCAACCACAACACAGTGGCAAATCGCAAAGTAGGTACTCTAAATATTTTTGTTCAAAGAATAATATTTGACAGTGTTCTTTGTATAATCTTAAAATATTTTATTGTAACTTTAATCTTTAATTCTACAACTTAATTTCTTTGGGATAATAACCTCTGCTAATTTATTCAGTTGGATATAGAAATGAATAGCTTATTTTTAATGGCATTACTACCTCTACTTGTCACTTTGAATGAAATCTTTTTTAAAATTTCAGCTTCTCCCATGGTATAAGTTGATGAGAAGGGTGAGAAAGTGAGACCAAGTCATAAGCGTTGTATCGTGATTCTTAGAGAGATTCCTGAAACAACACCAGTAGAGGTAAATTATTAAGTATTATTAAAGCTAAGTTCTCTTTACCTTTTAAATTGGAGGAGTTAAAATAAGCAAGCAAAATGTGTCAATGTCCTCATCAGTTTCTGTGAATAGGATAAATACTAACTTGTTTTGTAAACTTTGAAGAATGGTGCAGAGGGAGGAAGAAGATATGATTGTATGTTCTTAGAAGGGGAGACTGAAACTTTCAATATATTGATTTGACTGAATAGCAATTAAAATATAAATGTGCTTTTGGGAACTTGAGATTTATCTGAAAGAAATGAAGAAGAAAAATATGAATAAGGATTAATGGGTCAGGACTAACCCTTCTGGTTAGCAAAATATAGAGCAAAGTTGCAGCAGCCAGCTGGTGTGGCTCAGTGGTTGAACATTGACCTATGAGCTACGATGGTTCGATTCCCAGTCAGGGCATATACCCGGGTTGCAGGCTCAATCCCCAGTGTGTAGCATGCAAGAGGCAGCTGATTGATGAGTCTCTCTCATCATTGATGTTTCTGTCTCTCTCTCTTCCTTCCTCTCAGAAAACAATAAAAAAATATTTATACATTAAAGCAAAGCTGCAGTTATAAAGATAATATAGTACAGGTACAAAAATAAAATAATACTTGAATGAAACAGTATAATCCAGAAATAGGCTCTTTTATACAATAAGGTATGTATAATAGCATTTACTTGATAATTAGTTTCTTCCAAGTATTGTGCAATATACTTCAGTTATTTAAAGCCTCAGGTTTTATTATCTGTTTTACAGACAAAGTTAACTGAGCTTTAGGATGGTTAAATAAGTTAGCTAAGGACACTTGGGCTGTTTAAATGACAGAATCTGGATTTGAACTTGATCTCTCTGATTTTGAAGCCTGTGTTTCTTAACCACTAAGCCATAGAGCTTCACACTGAGTTGTCATGTTAAGGCATAGTAAATTAGAGAAGAGGAGAATTAATTAGTAACTGATACATGGCAATTGACTAACCATTTTTAAAATGGTTAGACTTTTGCCACCTGACATATTTGTTCATCTTTTTGTTCAGAGTTCATTTAGTGTTATATCTCCAGAATGCAGTGAGAGAAATTGGAAAAGAAACTCTCACGAGATCTTTGATTTAAAATTATGAACTATGTCAAAAGTAACAAATTGAAAGGAAGATTGCAGAATAGAAAGAATATTTGCAATATTTTTTTAAAAATGTATTTTATTGATTTTTTACAGAGAGGAAGGGAGAGAGATAGAGAGTTAGAAACATCAATGAGAGAGAAACATCGATCAGCTGCCTCCTGCACATCTCCTACTGGGGATGTGCCCGCAACCAATGTACATGCCCTTGACCGGAATCGAACCTGGGACCTTTCAGTCCGCAGGCCGACGCTCTATCCACTGAGCCAAACCGGTTTCGGCTGAATATTTGCAATATTAAGAAACAGTATATACACAAGCCTGAATTCTATAGCCAAACTGCCTCAATTTGAATTCTAGCCTTTTTACTTGCTAGTTCTATGACCTTGGGTAAGTTACTTGACCTCTTTTGCCTCTACTTTCTCATCTGTTAAATGGGATAATAGTAACAAGTAATTCATAAAATTTTTGTGAGAATTAAATTACTACATAAAGACCAGTAGCAAGCACATAAAAGTACTCTTAAGGTTAAATATTATTTTTTAAAATATATATTTTTATTGATTTCAGAGAGGAAGGGAGAGGGAGAGAAAGAGAAACATTAATGATGAGAGAGAATCATTGATTGCTTGCCTCTTGCACACCCCTACTGAGAATTGAACCGTGACTTTCTGGTTCATAGGGACCATGCTCAACCCCTGAGCCATGCCAGCCGGGCCCATTATTATCACTAGAGCTCACACACATGGAAAACAGTAAATAAAAGGAACGAGGCAGCAACATACTGTTCATTAAAAAAAATATGTCCAGCTGGTGTGACTCAGTGGTTTAGCGTCACATGAACCAGGAGGTCGGGGCACATGCCTGGGTTGTGGGCTCCATCCCTAGTGTGGGGCGTGCAGGAGGCAGCTGATCAATGATTCTCTCTCATCGTTGATCTCTCTCTCTCTCTCTCTCTTTCTCTCTCTCCCCCTCTCCCTCTCTCCCTCTCCCTCTCTTTCTCCCTCTCCCTAACTCTCTGAAATCAATAAAAATACATTATAAAAAAAAGAGTAAAGCAAGTACAGATGACTAAAATAGCCAGAGAATGTTGACCTAGGCCCTAAACACTGAAATTCAGAACTGAAATTCAGATTAAAATGAGATTTGGGCCCTGCCAGTGTTGCTCAGTGATTGAGCACCAACCTATGAACCAGGAAGTTCTGGATCCATTCATACTGATATTTCACCGTGACAAAGAGTGTCTCTCAGGCAACAAACAAAGGGGAGAATGCTTTTGTTTTTGGGGAAATCGAAGATAGCACAACTTTAAAACATTAAGAGGCCATCAAGAGTGCTAATGTTGCTACGGATGTGAAAGTGCTCACAAAACAATAATTACAGGCAAATTGAATAGGTAGGAAAATTGTTGATTTGGATAAAGGAATAGCAATGATACAAAGAAGTGTTTATAGATTATTTCAGTTTTTTAACAAATTGCTTCTCGAACAGCCTCCCTGAGTGAATTAAAGAACTGAGGTTCCACTGTACTTAGCACCTAGAAAATGTTAAGGGAGGACATACATTTCCTTTCTTTCCTTTATTTATTTTTTATTATGACACAATGAGAGATTTTTCTGGAAGGAAAATTTAGCTTGCCACTAGGAGTGAAATACTTCAGTTTTGATTATAAAGTAGGGCTCCATCCCTAAATTCTATACACTATTTATGCTATACCTATACATGTTGTTGTTTCAGAATATAATCTCTCAATAGAAAAATGGCAGAAGCCATAAACAGTTAATAAGTAAAGAAATAGAAAGGACCAAAAGTCATGAGGAGAAGAAATACTTATTATTGATGTTTTTTAGAATTAACTAAAGTTTTGGGGTTTTTTTTTAGGAAGTGAAAGCTTTGTTCAAGAATGAAAACTGCCCCAAGGTGATAAGCTGTGAATTTGCACATAATAGCAATTGGTATATCACTTTCCAGTCAGACACGGATGCACAACAGGTGAGAATAAAACTTTTCTCCTAATTTCAGTCCTAGTGATAAAAGAAGTGGTATCTTTTAATTGAGAAAATGTGTGCTTACAGCACTGTTGAGCAACTTCTTCAACTTTTTGTTTTTGCTTATTAATGGTTTTATTTTTTATCATCTACCTAAAGCCTTTTCAGTTTTAATTTGAGAAATTTATTTCTATCAAAAAAATTTAACATGGGAGCTTGGAAATCATATATTAGTAGTCAGTATTTCCACTATATAGCAGGCCTAGAATAAATATATAACTTTCTGATTCTTGAAATTTTGATACCAGTAGCAAGCACATAAAAGTACTCTTAAGGTTAAATATTATTTTTTAAAATATATATTTTTATTGATTTCAGAGAGGAAGGGAGAGGGAGAGAAAGAGAAACATTAATGATGAGAGAGAATCATTGATTGCTTGCCTCTTGCACACCCCTATGATTTTCCTTTGAAACAGAAACATGTCTAATAGCATTTTAAAACCACTTACTGGTTTTTGTTTGTTGGTGTTTTTAGTTTGAGGGTGTGTGTGTGTGTGTGTGTGTGTGTGTGTTGTTTTTTTTCTGTTAATCCTCACCCAAGGATATTTTTCTATTGATTTTTTTTTTTTTATTTTTTTTTAGCGAGAGTGG